ATCTCACATCTCCCCCTGCCAGACGGATGTGGCTACTGCCACGTGATGCTGCACGTTGTGTTCCGCAGTTCTTGCATACATGCACATTCATACAACACCCCACATTTTGCCTTTGAAAACAGAAATTACTCATTGTTAAGGTGAGCAGATGAAAGTCCACATTCATCTGGAAATGCCAGCCACTGGCACTTGTTTCAAGAGGGCAGAAGACTTGGCTTATCCAGGCGTATAATCTCACCCTTCCAAGCAAAATTGATAATACCTGCATTTAAAAAGGTCTGCTAAAGCTCCTGTAACATCAGGAGGGGGGCAATGCTGCCACCCCCATCCCCACCACGCTGATCTCAAATGCCAGGCTGAAAAGGAAGAAATTTTGAGTCCTGTTCAGCAAAGGGCAGGAGGAAAGAGAGGCCTTTTGTGGTCCTGTGGTTCTAGGTGAAGTTGCAACATGTGAATAACCAGCTACTGTGTAAAAGCAATTGTGAATTAAGTAAAATTCAGTTGGACAGGGCATGTTTTTCAGTTTTGATTTATAAAGTGCATCAGTAGACCAAAATGTCACTACTATCCTCAGTACCATCAAGATCAATTTTTAATTAGCACCTTCCAAAATCCCACCCAAATGGAAGCGGAAGAAAATCACTGCACTAGCTGAAAGCACCAGCTGAACCCTCCCCACATTACACAGCTTGTTCTGCACCAGCAGCTGGCGCAGAACAGCAGAGAAACAGCAGACCTGACCCAGAGCCCAATGAAGTCAAGACAGAGGCTGCCCAGGACTTCACTGCAAACCAGCATTCAGGGAAGATGACATTTGGAAGATATATTACAAATAACTGGAAGGAATTAAAAAGGTATGAAAACAAATTTGCCAAGTAAGGACGTCATAAACTCCAAAATTCAGATGGAGAGGTTACAGGGGTTTCAGACTTCCTTCCATTCCTCACCACAACTCAAAAGAGATCAACATGTTTGTAAAATGAGGGTAAAAAAAAACAACCACTTAACATACCTGGGTCAGTGGCTGACACGATGGCACCGAACAGCAGGCAGTCTGTGAAGTAGAAGTCCCCCCCGAGCTGCCCAGTGACTTTCATCAGTGCCACACAGCCATACACGACCGAGCTGGTGATTAGAAAAGGCCATTACTCACTTCTGCAGGGTATTAAAACAACATTCAAAAGAGCTCAATTCCCCTAAATTTGCCAGATTAACCCTGAAAGTTATCCAAACGCCAGAACACTGAAGAACTGCACTGGGTGAGCTGAGCCTGGTGAAACCCCACGGACATGGTCTCAGAGGTGGGTGCTGGACCACACACACGAAAGGACCTACCTCACCAGGCCACAAACACAGTGCCAGTGAGGAACTGGGACTGAAACTCCTCCACAAGCACAACATGGCTAAAGAAAACCAGCAGCCAGGCTCATGGGCTGGTGAAGTATTCAGATTAACTCATCTCAGTGGGACAACCTTGACCTGACTTTGAAATGGCCGAAACTTTCAGCTAGGAACAGACAATGTGGATGCTGAGTTTGCTTGAATCCACCGGATTCTCCAGTGGAAAACACCCCATACCAGACTGTGTGCTACTATTCAGATCAGGAATCATCTAGCTTCCTCTCTGCATAGGGACAAATAATGTGAAATGCAGTTCCTGCTCGCTAGGCACCTGCTTCCAGCATTTACAATCCTGCCCTCTGCTCTTGTGTCTCTCACTTGTTAGGGCTGTGCTTTCAACAACCTGAACTTACTGTTTTTGCAAGACAATCTTCAGAGAAGTGTGAAATTTTCCTTGCCATGCACATAACTACCCTGTATGGGATGCTGAGAAAGCACTATGCAATTAGACAGCAATCACCCTGTCCACCCAGCAAAAGTTTGGACAGTAACTAATATTATTTGATGCTACCAAGAAGCAGTAGCAGAGAGCTCGTGTGACCTCTCAGGGCTGGGCTTAATGGCTGCAGCTCTGGGCTTAGAGCACTGCTTCCAAGCACAGCTCAAACCCCATGGAAAACCAGACCAGCTCCAGCTACTTACCCGATCACCAAGCAGGAAATTGCAGTGCCGAGAAAAGCGTATGCTAGGATGGATCCCAAGTTTCTGAAGAAATGCCTCTAGAAAGAGGGAAGAAAAAAAATAATTATATTTTGCTAACCATTTATTTCAAGCCTGCACAGGCACCCACACGGTGTTTGTAGCAACATGGACCTAGCTCAGACACCGCGAGGTGGACAAGCTTGGCTGAGCGGTGCCCAGCACAACGGTGTACGCTGCCAGACTCATAAAAGTTAAGGCAGCATTAATAAGCATGAACACATCATTTTCTTGTACATGTATTTAATAAGGTGCTGTTCTAAGTCTTGGGAATTGATTTCCTAACCCAGCAGCATTCCTCCTTCCTTCTCCCTCAAGCTAAACAGGATCATTTTCCTCTCCTTCCAAATCAGCATTTCAGAGGGCTAGTGCTTTCTAAAACTTTCCTACCTTTTTATGTCTCTTGAAAGCAAGGATGCCTGAAACGGTCCAGCTGACCTCAGACACCTCTGTGCAAACCCATGCTGCACATGGTTGAAGTTGTTGACCTTTCCAAGGAAGAGGGATGGGTGAGACTGACTGGGGCACTCTCAGCCCTGCTTCCTATAATCCCACATGTACTGGGCAAAACCTGTACCCAGCTCCACAGCCTTGGCCTGCTGAGCAAGCACTAAAACACTCTCAAGTATTAAAAATGCTCTGGAGGCAGAGGAACTCAGAACGTGGGTGCTGTAAAGGCACGTACCCTTTTCAAGCTGTAGCCTGCATAAAATATAATTGGAGGAAGCAAAATGTTGAAAAATACTTCAGGATCAAAAGTCACCTGTTAAGAAAAAAAAAAGGACACAACAGTAAAATGGTTTGTTAAGACTTTGCAAGACAAAACACAAATAAGAATGTCATATAAAATATATGAAGGAAACCCTGTGCCCCCCCAGGTGAAACGCTGCCAGGTCAATGCCAAGGATGTGTCTGGGACCTTTTGTGGACACAGGCCAGAGTCTAAATGGCCTAAATTAAGACCCACTGAAACCAGAGTTTCACTGCATTGTCTTCAACTTATAATTTACAGCTGATCACAATCTGACCGAAGTTAAAAAGGAATATAAAAAAATTTTAAAATCACTTAATCCAGCAGATATGAGACCCATGCCCATGGAGGGAGCAGGGAGCACCGCTCACCTCCTCGGTCATAGACCCCCTTACCTTTCTCAGCATCTCATTATCCTGGACGTTGTTGAGCTCCTGGGCACTGATTTCCCCCTTCAGGGTGTACTCGTAGTACTTGCCACTGACGTTCACCAGCAGTGTGGCAGGACTGGTCTGCACTTGGCAGCTCAGCGTCACGTTGTTGACGTCACTGGGGACGTGGATGCCGTAGCGCAGGACCACACCGACCAGGACCCCTGGGGAGGGACATGCCTTGGTGAGATGAGCCATGAGACACTGCCAGGACAACCTCTTTGAGTTAGGATCAGGCATGCCAGGATCCTAACTCTCTGCTCAGCTGCTGAGCACAACCACCATCCAAACAATCACCCGCATGATATTAAACCGTCCGCATCCCTCCGTGAGCCATGCGAATGCTCCAAGCCCATGTGGACCTTCCAACACCAGCCATGCACTGGTCCTGAAGGCTTTTATCTACCCAGCAACTGGTCAGACCCTCACACTAGTGTAGTAAACAGCTAACATCAAGAGCATGTGGATTTTCCTAGGGTGAGCACCCTGGCATTGCTGGCACACAGCTGGGGGCCTGGGCATGGAGCTGTTCTCATGTGCCCAAACCATGCCTGTTGCACCTGGAAACCCGAAAGCATCTCATTTTGCCACTGCAGAAACAGATTAAACCCTTCATTCTTGTAGATAATTAAAAAAGGTACCAAGCAACCATCACAAAAGCTCTGAGGACAGTGAGCATCCCTCTTGAGACATTGCAGCACCATCCAGCCTCCTCCTGCACCAGGGAGCTTTTGCACCACACAGCAGGGACCCCCATTTTATAAAAAACATGAAAGTTTTGCCTTCCAGGCTGACCACCTGGGTCTGCTCCTTACCCCCTGCAGGCCTCAGCTCTGCACCATGAGCAGCATCCCCAGGGCAGTCCCGTGAGCCTACGCTGCCTCGGGCCCAGCTGCTGCACAGGACTATCCTGAGGTGAATTGGCAAGTCAGCAGTTTATTCAGCACTCGTCTGCAGCACGGCCGATGAGCTGCACTCCGGGGCCTCACACCAGGGTTCACAGCACTCACACCACGCAGGCTCCTCCAGCTCCTTCCCACCCACACGCGTTCTCCCAGCAGAGGTTTTTGACATCTGCAGGCTGGGGAGGACGTCCCACAAAACACCTTTCCACGTAGCCTTCAGCACAAATGGGTTTGGAAACTCCTTGGTGAAGACAGCACTGAGCCACCACAGAAATCCTAGATCCTAACCCCACCTCTGAACCACACATTTATGGAAAGCTTTCAGATACGTGGGAACTAAATGGAGACAGCGGCATTTGGAAGGCTTCTCCATTCAGCCCCTAGGACACTCCCACTTCTTTACTGCTGCCTTAAGACCTTGCTCTGTGCTTTCCTACAGGCAGGGCACAACCCCAAGCGAAGGGGACACCAAACTCTCACTCCACTGCCATCCCACAGGCGCAAAGCCTGGGCAGGAGACTGTGGGACCCTGGCACGTTCAGCACCTCCTGCAGCCAGTTCCTGATCTGCCGCCCAGTTTTTGCCTCCTCTTCCCTGACAGCAGTTTTCCAGGATGACATTTGCTCAGTTTGCCGATGGCCAGAAGCCCTCACCTCTCATCCCAGGGGTTGTCATGCACGGCAGGGCCACTCAAACACGCAGCAGGCCATGAGCAGAGGCAGAAGGACTGGCTGCAGAGACTCATGGCTGCTAATCCACCACACCGATGACAGGGCTGGCTCATCTCAGGGACTGGGCTGGCAGACCCTGGAGCCGCACCCAAAACCCAGTCCCTGGTCTAACAAGCAGTTCAGCAGCACAGCTGAGCTGCTCTCGCCAAGCTGTTGATGCCTTTGAGCCGTGCACAGATGACCATGTGCTTTGGGCTTTCCCCTGCACTGCATGGTCAGCACAGAGTCATCCCACAGCCGCAGAGAAGGTCCCTCTCAGCACAGCCAGGCACGCTCAGCTCCAGCAGCAGAGCTGCTTCAGGGCACGTCACACTGGGCAGGGCACCGCAGAGCTGCTTTCACACCAGCAGCACTAAGAGGAGGCACCAAAGAGGAATACTTTTGCTGACTTTTCTCCTAGCCTCTTTGTTCCTGTGATCTTCCAGTGCTCCAGAAATAAAAGTATGGAAAATACAGCAAGGCCATCAAGAACATCCGGATGTTCATGGTGTATTTACATGAGCATGTAGCAGGGGGGTGCACAGCACCACGGCACTGGGACACAACAGTCAGGTTTCCTTTCCCCCAGAAGATGATGATCCCTGAAGGCAGATCATCACAGGAGACAACCAAAGCTCTTCACTGGGATAAAGTGAGTTTTAAAGGGTTATTTACGTCTGCTTATGACTACTAAGCAGCTTCAAACAGTTACAGTGGGAATTCAAATGAAAGAGAAGAAAGCCAGGCTGGAGAGGTCATTTCCCTTCTACCCCTGCAGCAGCTGCTCTTCCACTCCTATGGAGCAGGCAGCACCAGGTTCACCACGCTCTGCAGCCCTCTGGAGCTACCTGGGGTGGCTTTAAAAGTCTTTCTTAAAAAAAAAAAACTTGATTTTACAGTTTCATGCAGGAGTCAGACACCCCCAGCAGCAGCAGCAGCTGCCTGTCTTTCCTCAGATGAAAATCCATGCAGTGACTCCTTGAATGCCTGGGCTCAGCTCTTTGAGACGAGAGGCCCTGCAGGAGGAAGGAAGGAGGGACAGACAGACAGATATTGTTGCTGGGAATTCAGAAGGGATCCTGACTCATCTGCCCCTCGGCTCCCCATCCTCGTCCCACACCCGACAGCAGCCGTGCTCATCCTCCCGTCCGCTTACCCGGCAGCTGTTCCCAGCCCCGCGCGCCGGCCGCGGCCGAACTCCCACGCTGGCCAGGAGCGGGACGAGGGAAAAGGATGGATAAACTTACAATATCTGCCAAGACCACTGTGCCTGGGGCTAACAAAATCAGGCGTTTTTATCCTGAGCTGTAACATGCTGCTAGGGAGGCTCCCAGAGCTCTCCGGACTGGGGTGGGAAAAGACACCCACGTGCAAATTACAGGTCGGGACAAAATGCTCATGGGCCCCGAGTGTGAACCAGCCACCAGCCAGGATCACACCAGTGGCTCACAACACAGAGATGCCACCACAGGCACCTCCAGGCAAAGCATGGTGCTGCTCTGCTTAGAGCCAGTTATTCTGCCAACATTAACATGACCCCACCACCAGCCCCTCAAGCCCAGCAGTGGATCTCTAATCAACCCTCCCTAACTAACAGTGCTCACTGGAGGCACTTGGGGCAAATCCAGCTTGGATGCCAAGGTGTTTCAGACACCAAACCCAGTCCTGGGGTCAGGCTACCTGGACCAAATCCAGGGAACCGAGAAGTGTTCCTGGTTCTGACAGTCTCAGGAAATGGTCCAGACTCTCTTGGCGCTCAAAGGGCTGCCCTAGCAGCAACCCGTGAGCTGCTCCGCCACTATCGACATGCTTTTGCAGCCAAAAGTTTTGAGAAACTGAGCCCTGGAAGGCAGCAGAGCAGAGGGAACCTGACACCAAGGAAGCTGCCCAACTGAAAGCTGCAAGGAGTAGAGAAACTAAAAGGAAAGCTGGTAAATTAATTGAGTTCTTTTATGCAAAATGCAAGAGATTACTTTCATTGCATTTCTCCCAACTTCATTAAAAAGAACAAAAGCCCATGGGCTTTTTTTTTTTTTTTAGGTGCTGTTGAACATTTCCGAGGCAAGGTTTTATATGAAGACTAATGTATTACCATCCAGGCACTTAAGAACAATGGAAGCACAGAGGATCCCCAGGCGAGCATTAATCTGGACACCAAAAGGAAAGAAAAATGTAGTGAGCAACTGAAGACATCCCGAAACCAAGCAATTTAGACATGTGCAATCCAGGAGCCAAGTGGGAACATGTACAAGGAAACTGAATTTCTAGAGAAGCTCCTCCTACATCCACCATCAGACCTTGAGAATAAATGAAACCAAATTGTTCAATTAATCATCCTAAATGTTGAGTACCTCAGATGTGGGAACCTCATTTTAAACACTGAAATGAAGCTCAGGGGCTACTAAACTCCTATTGTCTATCACTGTGAAATGACTCCAGCCTGTGTTCAACTCTTGAACATCAACTCTGAGCTGACAGTGTGATTTATAAGATATAAATCCACCTGGAGCAGGAGCTTCTAACTTACTGTGAAAACTCAAACACCAAAGAAACTCTGATGTATTTCAACAAGAAAAATGTATGCAAAAGTTTTACTTTACTTAGTTGTTGGGGTTTTTTACTTAGAAAAAGACAAGCTTTTACATATTGCTTCTGTTGCCCAGATTTCAGGCTCTGTTTTGCAGCCTACCTGCTGCAGCACTTCCACATTTTCAGTGGACTTCCCCGGAGCTGAAAGCATCACAGGGGCTTGAAAACGTCACAGGAGGTCAGGGACAGCGAAGCAGAAGTGGTACCTGCTTTGCTGCCTGCAGCTTTGAAGTTGTTGCTGTAGAACAACTGCTTCTCACCACTCGTTGGGAATTACAGAGCCCTCTTCCTATGGCAGCTGTCACAAACTGAGAAGCAAATGCCAAAAGCTTGGACAGCAGGGAAAAACTCATGATCTTCTGCATGACCAGACAGGTGACATTACTGACTTCGCCAGCAATTCTCTAAGCAGTCTGCAAAAGAGCAGACAGAAAAGATGCATTTTTCAGATCAGCAGGAGACCAAAACGACCTGGGTCGTCCTCTGAGAAGAAGGGAGAGCACTCAAGTGAGCCAGGGAGAAGAGAGGGCCAAGAAGAAGAGAAGTCCAAGATTAGAAGAACAAGGTTAAAGGCAGGTTTGAAAGTGTGAAAGGAACAGAAAGTCCACATGTCAGTGAGCTCCGGGGCAGCAGGAGAAGGAAAACCATGCTTGAAGGATGTGCTCCCAGAGCACGGTTCCTATCCCAGGGAGGTGACCACCCCTGCCTCGGGCAGGAGGCCAGCAACGCCTGCACCCGCCGCAGCCGCGGCTTGCAAGAATCCAAAGAGGCAGACCAGTAGTATTTTGTGCCTCTGGGCTGACACAAGTGTCTCCACCTCTTCATTTGGAAAGACACCTCCAACTAGCTGAAAATTAAGATCCCAAAAGCCGCCAGCACAAACGGGTCAAGTCACAGCCTTCAGAGGAAAGCTTTCTGCAGGGCAAGGGACTCGGCCGTGGTGCTGTTCTGGCTGAGCTT